ATAAATTATTTACACAGTGACAATTAAAGTTGATAAAAATTCGAACTGATCACGTTTCTGCAATAAATCTGCTAGAGCGCGGAGTGCCGGCTTCTCTTTGCTTGTTTTTCTGGAAGAGCGTATTCAACAGCGCGGAACTAAATACTTTTCCATAAGCTTATTTTGGAAATAACTGAAAGGGACTGACTTTGATCAGCCTTACTTCGTAGTGTTGTTCTCCCAGCTATGCGGCTTACAGGTTATTCAGTTCCAGTGCTACATCGCCCAGTTATTATCAGTTTACTAATAATTTTGCCTTTCATTTTGTCTCGTTCCGTTTGCGATTACTTTAGTGAACAATTATCAATAACTATCAGTGGTTGGTCATAAAAACAACAATTTTGATACCCGTATATTAGTTGCTTTGTTGGCTCGCCAGGAAAAGGGACTGTATTAAAATAATTTAAAACTCAGGGAGCGACACAAACACGATTTAGCATTCCAGTCTGAGTTCAAGCAAATTTCTGTTATACCGGTATTTTACACCGAGCTGTTGGTGCGGTACCTGATGAGCTGATTTGAAAAGATAGTCTGAACATCCTTGATGAATTAAACAGCCTAAATGGGGCGAGTAAGAGTGCTGACGAAGTGAATGAGATGATGTAGAGAGTGGGCCTGAATATCAGTACAGCAAAACGAAACTTATGTGGGCAGCAGCTGAAATGCAAAAAGCTTGTATTAGATGGATGAAGTGAGCAGTAGTTCTTGAATTGAAAACTGCTTGTCGAAAGGCTTTCAAGCGGCGCGTATTCTGTGTGCTGTCAATATTCCCGTCATATCATTTCAAAAGAACGATGGTCGTATTACTTGTGCCACAGTGCTGTTAGCGATAACTCGGGTGGGATGTTAGACGTGATCACTTATGAAAGCGAAAGCTAAACGGAGAACAGTGCTTGACGCATTTTCTTTCGTCATGCTTTCATACCTTGACCATCTGTCGTTCCTTCGCGTACTTTCTGACGGTCAATGCAGCTAGCAGCCTCTCCGTTCTTGCTCTCTCACTCTCTTGGGTCCCTTTCGTCCGCACGCTTCTGCCTGAGTATTCGGTCGGGTCATTCGTCCACAGTAGCTTTCTCTGTTTTCTTTTTTTTTTTTTAACGCTGCGTAGTACTATTAAGTATTCCGTTCTGCCCATCTGTTGCCTTTCGTTCCTGCCACACGACTAACCTTTCTGGTTGCACTAGCGCTGTCGCACACACCACACCGGAGCCGCAGAAGAG